GCCGTTTCATTCTGACTGTTTAAAAAACGGTAACAACGGACTATTTTTCTTGGCGGATGCATGTCAATTTAAATCAATACATACAACTATTTTTTAAATCAATAAAAACATTTTCTAAATCCATAAAAGCATTTCAATTAATATTGGGAGTAATGTCGTTACTTTGTTGAGAATGTGGCCATGTAATAAGCGGGATAATTTGCAGCGACTTGGTCATTATGGGGAAAAATAACACCCAGGGATCAAGATCCCTCCGCTACGCGGATCTTGATTTGCCTGACAAGGCTCCATTAAAATATAAATATGTTTAGTGAATTACTGAGTTTAGGCACGTTAATAACATTTTAATGAAGTTGAATACAGTATATTCATATTGTGGTGAAGATGATGATTAAATTAGGATTAAAAATCGAGAGCCGGCTGCTTTCCTCTCGTTCGTTTTTTTCGACTAAACAACATTATTTTGTTAAATAACAACATGGTGATGTTTTGTAAATGATTACATGTCTTATTTAGCACAGACTATGATCTTATCCGTAACATATGGATCTTAACAAAGATCCGCTATACATTAGTACCAGACATATTGTGGTGATTGACATTATTCACCCACGGATCTATGGGTTGGGGTATTGTTCCGCACGGACATTTTAGTGAACCAGACCAGCTGTTTCCGCCGGTCTTCGCTTCCCGGGCATGAAGTTGTTTACATGTGTGTTCAGATGCTAAATAAAAGTTTAGCTTTTACTTTTGATACCCCGCCTCCGACTCCCGTCTCTCGGCACCACAACATCCAGTTTACTGTATCGAAGTTGATTTCACATGAGCTCCAGTGTGGAACCCCACTGCACCCCCTGGTGGATCAATGATCCATTGCAGCTGGCTTCACAATAATTACATTTATTTATCACGGGGGCGGTATCAAGTCAGACTGGGGGCCGGCTCTTCATCACGGGCCGATCACGGGCCGATCACGGACCAATCACGGACCAATCACGACCCTCGCGTTTCAAACTGTCCAAAATAAAACGCTCCATCTGTATCTTGGGGTCCCAAACCATTTAATGCTTTATATGTTAGCAATAACATTTTCAAATCGATTCTGTAAGCTACAATCCTCCACATGTCTGTTACCTCATCCCCTGCACTGCAGAGAGCACCAGGCAGCAGAGGGACATCAGCAGACACAAAGTCCAGGCCAGGTAGAGACCCCAGTGAGATCTGAATCCTCCTCCCTTCAGACGGACGTCCTCCTCCACGCTGCCGTCCAATGAACCCTCATCAACACTTTTCGGTTCCTGTCCTCCATCCCCTGTACCAAACTCTTTTCCCGGAGGTGTTTGATTGGCATTGTCCCCCTCGTTAATGAGCAGCAAACTGTAAAGTGTTGTGATTTCAGGTTCTTTATCCGTGATTTTATTTACCAGAATCGTAGGGGACACTGAAGGCAGATCTGTGCCCTGAAAACACAAGAGTTAGAGTCAGACAGGGTTCACAATGTTGTGGGAATAAAGATATAAAGAGCTTTTCTTTTTCCTCCGATAGTCTCCATTTCTTTTATCTGTCAGATGATCATAATAGTGTTCAGGACAACGCATGTATGACCTTTTAATTCATAGTTTGTATATTATATGTGCATTCTTGCTCATATCGTCTGACAAGCCTCTCTCCTTGATATGCATTCAATAAATTGAGATATCCTTTAAGATGGCACAGCGAGATTGTATTCAGGGTCACAGAGAGGAGGAGCGAGGACTCACAGAACAGATAAATGAGACGAGCGTAGTGAGAGGACAGAGCGAGGGTCACCTGGTACTTCTTCCTCCAGGTGTCCTGCGCCCACAGCTGCAGAACGCTCCAGGAGAGATGGGGCTCCGATATACTGCCGCTCACTGAACAATCATCTGAGAGGAGACGAGTCACAATAAAATAAGGAGAAAGAGAAAAGGAGATGAGGAGACAAGTTAAGATGAGATAAGATTTACTTGATTGAATCCCGTTGGGAAATATTATCCTCACAGAAGCTAAAACGAGGCTTTGCACATAAAAAGTAGAAAATAAACAAACACAGAATAGAAACATCTCAACCTCTCAACAAAAGAGAAAATAAAACAGAACTAAAGAGAAAAATATACATGTTAACAGTAAAAGAGAAAAATATGTAGACAAGCCAAATTACAACTAACAAAACGTAAAAGTAGGATATCATTTATTTAAATGAAGTGTGCAAGTAGGATATATTAGAAGAAGAAAGAAGGAGAACATTATAGTCTATGTCAAGTCGTTTTAAGACATTTTAATGCAGAAATGTCAATTACACTTGACCAAATCTGACCTTGAAAGAAGTCCTTTCCAGTCGTTCTGCTCTTGGCGTGTTGAACTCTCTCGACCTCTTTCTGTCTGAACAGGAATGATATAACTGCTGCTGCTGGCAACACCACACACACACTCAGAAGTCCTGTCCGCACAGAAACAGTTGTTGCTTCTACACAGCCAAACTGGAAGGGCAACTGCAAACAACGGATCAGCGTTAACATGTTTTGGACACTCTTGGGGCGCTAAATATTCAACTCTATAGGTTTTATTAATTGTGATATGATCATTGTGCTGACACGTGCATATCCCAGCAGAAGCAGCAGGCTCACACACAGTCTCTGAGTGTGTGTGAACGCGTTGGGGCAGGGGCAGCTGTACAAAGATATCCAGATGTGGTAATCGGCCAAATAGTCTGATAGCTTGAGACTCAGCATCTACGAGGGGGGAAGACATTCATATTTGTTTTCTGTATCTGAGTGTATGTGTATGAGGACTCTGTACCTTAAAAAAGCTTATTCCACGAGTGCATTTTCCCAGAATCCTCTCCACCCGCCCGTCACTTTGGTTCACAGCCAACCAGCACTGAGCCACAAAGAGCCACGCACGTCCCTTCAGCTGCCCTCTGCTCACCTGGGTTATTAAGAAACAGAAGGAAAACAAACCATATTCAAAAGGAAAGTCCACCCGATTTGGAGTGGTTTTCAGGATCAATGATGGCAGTTTTAACCAGAAAGTGGCCATATCTGTACTCTCTCTGAGCTGATGTTGACTACCATGAGTAATGTTGCCGACATTGGATGTAGAGAGCACACGATGGAAATCATTACCTCCACTGTGGACAATTCTTTTTCAAATAAATAGGCAATCAGTCCAATACAAATACATTTCTAACATAAAACTTTACATTTCCGGGTTAACAAAAGGACAACTAGACTATTTAGCTCATCTTATTCTATTTTACTTGTATTTAGTGAACTAGTCCTGGATTATTTGCACATTAGTCTATTTTATTGTTATTGTGTTATGCCTTATATCTATTTATGTTGCATTGTTGGTGGAGCCTGGGAATGCCTCTTGAATGATTTAAAAAAACCTCTCTCAACAAACTTGCTGTACAATCCAACTCTCATTGATCCAGTCGTATGCTCGTATATATTTAGCAAACACGCCTGCAAAAATGTCAGAACGGTCTAAAATAGTGAGGAGAAATTGCACGTGTTTGTGAAGTAGTTACAGGTTAAATTAAATTGTGCAAGAGTTTGTCAACCGATGTTTATATAGTTTTACTGTGACATACTGCCGTAATTCACCCACAGGAAATACGTATAGAATTTTCTCAGTTTTCTGGATTCTACCTTCACCGAGAAAAACTCATTTGTATTTCAGAAATGAAGGAAACTAGGGGTAAAGCAGGGGTGTCCAAACTACGGCCCGGGGGCCATTTTGAATTGACCCTCAGAAAATTCAAAAAGTATAATGAAATATGGCCAACAAATTAAACTTCTGCTTGTCTTTTATTGTACTTCTTAAATATATATGTTAACATATATTACACAGTATTCATGTGTTAATAAGCCCAATTTTCAAACAAATTCAGTCAATTGAAGTTGAAATGTTTTTCTAACCAATCTAAGTTGATAAGAAAAAAGCCCCAATAACAAATGTACATAACCTTGAAATATATCCTTCATATTTCCACTTATTATCAGCAATTATAACCCTAACCCTAACCCTAACACTAAACCTAAACCCAAACCTAACCCTAACCCTAACCCTAACCCTGAAGCTTCTGTTTTAAGGAATGAGCTGCCAACACTTTTTGTACCAAAATAAATGAAACCCTCTGGAGAGCATTTTTCAAGTATTAAGAATAATTTACCTACATTTGACAGATTTTTTCCAACTTATAACTTAACTTACGAGGCGATATACCTCACCTCTAGCGAGCGGCCCAGCCCTTCGTATATTTTTCTGTATGTGGCCCTCGTGAAAAAGGTTTGGACACCCCTGGGGTAAAGGACGTTTGTTGTAATGTCATTCTTTACCTCGGACACGTCCAGGTGTTTGATGTTCCAGCTTGGGGAGGGTCCAGAGTTGTCGTGCCAGATGTGCACCCCCCACACAGGGCCCAGGCTGTCGGCTGCACTGTGGGGTCAGAGACAGACCGCCTTTATAAATGAGCAAAAACAATTCAAAGCTACTCAATAATGATGTGACATTGATGTAAAACGCATCTGTGTGTTGACTTTATGTGGAGATTTTGGATTTCACCTGATGATAAAGGTCTCTTGAGAGTTTCTCCTGAACAGAGTGCATCCTGGGACATGTAGTTCTCTTGTCTGTGAGAAGCCATCTTCCCCTTGGAGCACCATGTACACCTGTTAAACACATAGATGTTACCTTTAAATATCGGATCATTTTGGGTAGCTTAGTTTAATACAAGTCAAGGAAAACAAGGTCTAATCACAAATAAAAGAGAGATATAGACAAATCAGGAATAATACACTTTTTTTAAAAGAACAGAATTAAAGTTGTTGTTTGCCCTTTACTATCAGTAAGATGTCCAAGGACGTTTGGATTATTTTTATATGTGTTATCAAAGACATCTGCTGGATTCTCACATGCCTTGCCAGTGACCTGTTTAACGTGGATATAAAGACGGGGACAGAGCGAGACGTGTCACACTTCTCTGTCTGAACAGCGATATTTCAGAATGAGGAGAGCTGCAGTTTTTCTGGCGTTGCTGCTCTGTCTGCTCTGGACGGGGGCTCAGGGTGAGGATGGAGGGGGGACAGGGAAGAAAGAGGGGGAGTTTGATATCCAAGGAGCCCACGATCAGAGCAGCAGTCAGACCCAGATGAGAACTGACCTCTGGGCTGAGCTGAAGGAGCTCAGAGACATGGCCATCGAACACAGGATCAAGATCCAGAGGCTGGAGCAAGACAACACAGGTGACACAGCTGACGTAACACACACTGAGAGCCACATCATGCTGCACTGATATATGCAATCATCATCACTGACACTCTTCACTTTAAGGACTCATTTGTTGTTTTTAACAAAGCCAAACAGGTCAGACTGACAGCCAGCGAGAGCAAGAATGCATTGCTTACTTATATGTTGATGTACTATAATGTTTGTGACAGAGCTCCAAAGTGACATCTACAATAATACTAATAACCATTTTGAAATGTGTTCAGTTCTAGAGACCAGGATGAGCTCCAGTGAGAAGGAGGTGGAGGAGGTGAAGAGAGAGAACGCAGGTAAGAAACAGAAACATCATAAAAAAGGAAATGTTGCGAATATTAAGATACGAAGACATGTTTTTGTGTAAAATACAAAAGTGAGAAAAGAGAGGTGAACAAAATCAGAGGCTGGAGCAAGACCACACAGGTGACCCACCTGACATAACACACACTGAGAGCCACGTCACGCTGCACTGATACATGCAGTCATCATCACTGACACTCTTCACTTTAAGGACTCATTTGTTGTTTTTAACAAAGCCACACAGGTCAGACTGACAGCCAGCGAGAGCAAGAATTCAGGTAAATACTTACATGTGCTTATTTATATGTTGATGTACAATAATGTTTGTGACAGAGCTCCAAAGTGACATCTACAATAATACTATTAACCATTTTTAAATGTGTTCAGTTCTAGAAAACAGGATGAGCTCCAGTGAAAAGGAGGTGGAGGAGCTCCAGAGAGAGAACGCAGGTGAGAAACAGAAACTATTATGAAGAGTCCAAATGTTGTTCAATGAAAGGAACTGGTATACTGAGGAGAATATTAAATATCAATCTCTGCTGGCTATCAGAATCCAAGAAATAGACTTTCTTTGTTTTAATAAACAGTTTGTTAGTGAGTTCTCATCTCTCTGTGTGCATCCTCCTCTTCCTCACAGACCGTCCTCAGGTGGCGTTCTCAGCCGGTCTCACTGATGCAGGAGCAGTCGGACCCTTCACCACTGATATCACACTGAAGTACAGTAAAGTCTTCACCAATATCGGCCAGGCCTACAGCCCAACGACAGGTACTGAACACACACACACACACACACACACACACACACACACACACACACACACACACACACACACACACACACACACACACACACACACACACACACACACACACACACACACACACACACACACACACACACTACGCTTTCTTAATGAAACCATTAAAACATCTCTTAGTTTTCCTACAGTTGATTATGGTAGAAAATTAAACCAAGTCAGGAGCTCCATACATATTCATAAGGTCACCTATCATGCTATTTCTAGCCATGTATTATGGGTCTCAGATATACAAAAAATATAAAAAACATGTCTATGATGCGTTTTGCTCCCAATACAAACAGATCATGCATTTTAGAAATCCCTCATTTCCCTCTATTCCAGCTGTTAGAGAACTGCAGGTTTGGGGTCCTTAGCTTGAAAAAAATAAAAAGAGGAGGCGGAGCTAATGCCTGATCAGAATTGTACCGCAGATACAGCCAAAGGCTGGCGTGGTTAAATGCCATATCATGTTCCAAACCACATCAAGGATTAGTTCTGAAACAGTATGGAGCTCAAACTCTTGTTCTCTCTCAGGTTTACCACAAGGTGAGTTCCCAGACACACCAGGGACATGTATTTATGTATAAAAGACATAACAAAGTGCATTTTGCATGATAGGTCCCCTTTAAGTCCTGCTGAAGCACCAGAAACAATCTCCCCTCACTGATCTTCTCCTCTGATGCAGGTATCTTCACAGCCCCCGTCAGAGGAGTCTACTACTTCAGATTCAACGCGTGGGAGAACCGTTCAGCTGAGACCGGTGTTCAACTCTTTCACAACAACCACAAAAAGATGGGGCTTTATGATTACAATGGTGGCTCTGGCCGTGTCTCTACGTCTAACTCAATGGTTCTTCAGCTGGAGAAGGGAGATGTTGTCTACATCGTTCTGCTCTCCAGCTACCCCGTTTATGATGATTCGAATAATTACATCATTTTCAGTGGATTTCTGCTCTTTCCTCAGTGAAGCCCACTCTAAAACACCCACTGCATTAAGTTTCAACATTACATATTAATAAATAAGTGTGTTGACTCAATGTATATAATTGTTTGTGTTTATTTTTGCTTGGTTACATGAACAAGAGGCATTTATTACCATAACAACGTTTTCTACGGACACTATAAGAGAAACACTTTAGCAGTGCTGTTGTTGTCCAAACCCCCTAAACTGAGACCAAGTCAAGACCAAAGAGCCCTCTCCAGTCTGTGCCCTAACGACAGAAGAGAGACCCACACTGCATGACACAGATATCAAACATATATAACATAATAAACAGAGACACTCCTCAAAATGATCTGTCATATCCACAATCCCAGAAAAACTCAAATGTCTTCATTCACCTGGTTGCTTGCCATATATACTTACAGTATATGTTTGTGTATGAATGTTATATGAGAAATGTAAAGCAGAGTTGACTTTTATGTCCGGGAATCTTCCTTTCTTTGATGACCTCTTTGTCAGAGACAGAAACTCATCAAAATGAGGTTGATTCTGAGACCAGACCTTCAAAAAGTGTTCTTGTGATCAAGACCAACTCAAGTACCAAAAACTCTGCATTAAAGTGTTAATAAATACAAAAAGGACGTCATATTTTCTTTTACACAGCATAACAATATTATTTGAATCCATCCAATCTAAAATTAACCAGACATTTATTTATTTTTAGCCATTAAAGATGTTACTGTTGAAAGCTTACATAATAAGCTATATTCAAGGACAACATTCAAGTTGTTGTTTGTTTTGAAATCAGGTTAATGTCCAAGGACTTTGCACTTTTTTTTTAAAATAACAGAATTCAAGTTGTTGTTTGCCCTTTACTATCAGTAAAATGTCCAAGGACGTTTGTATTATTTTTACATGTGTTATCAAAGACATCTGCTGGATTCTCACAGCCTCGTCAGCTGTTTAACGTGGATATAAAGACGGGGACAGAGCGAGACGTGTCACACTTCTCTGTCTGAACAGCGATATTTCAGAATGAGGAGAGCTGCAGTTTTTCTGGCGTTGCTGCTCTGTCTGCTCTGGACGGGGACTCAGGGTGAGGATGAAGGGGGGACAGGGAAGAAAGAGGGAGAGTTTGATATCCAAGGAGCCCACGATCAGAGCAGCAGTCAGACCCAGATGAGAACTGACATCTTGGCTGAGCTGAAGGAGCTCAGAGACATTGCAATTGAACACAGGATCAAGATCCAGAGGCTGGAGCAAGACAACACAGGTGACCCACCTGATGTAACACACACTGAGAGCCACGTCACGCTGCACTGATATATGCAGTCATCATCACTGACACTCTTCACTTTAAGGACTCATTTGTTGTTTTTAACAAAGCCACACAGGTCAGACTGACAGCCAGCGAGAGCAAGAATGCAGGTAAATATTTACATGTGCTTATTTATATGTTGATGTACAATAATGTTTGTGACAGAGCTCCAAAGTGACATCGACAATAATACTATTAACCATTTTTAAATGCGTTCAGTTCTAGAGACCAAGATGAGCTCCAGTGAGAAGGAGGTGGAGGAGGTGAAGAGAGAGAACGCAGGTAAGAAACAGAAACATCATAAAAAAGGAAATGTTGCGAATATTAAGATACGAAGACATGTTTTTGTGTAAAATACAAAAGTGAGAAAAGAGAGGTGAACAAAATCAGAGTCTGGAGCAAGACAACACAGGTGACCCACCTGACGTAACACTGAGAGCCACATCACGCTGCACTGATACATGCAGTCATCATCACTGACACTCTTCACTTTAAGGACTCATTTGTTGTTTTTAACAAAGCCACACAGGTCAGACTGACAGCCAGCGAGAGCAAGAATGCAGGTAAATATTTACATGTGCTTACTTATATGTTGATGTACAATAATGTTTGTGACAGAGCTCCAAAGTGACATCTACAATAATACTAATAACCATTTTTAAATTTGTTCAGTTCTAGAGACCAAGATGAGTTCCAGTGAGAAGGAGGTGGAGGAGGTGAAGAGAGAGAACGCAGGTAAGAAACAGAAACATCATGAAAAATGATGCCAACAAAATGAAGAGACGATCTTGTTTATAAGTCAAAAGTGATTTACCTGTTTTCTATGTCTAAACATTGTTCAGCTTTAGAGGCTAGAATGAGCTCCAGTGAAAAGGAGGTGGAGGAGGTGAAGAGAGAGAACGCAGGTAAGATATAGAAGTATAATATAAAAGGTAAATATTGCCTATAATGATAGAAACTAATGAGTTTGACATAATGAAGAGATAACCTGCTCTTTCTCTGTATTGCAGATCTTCTGGCTCGAGTCACAGCAAGTGAGAAGAAGAGCACAGGTAGGAGTACAAAGTAACCAAATAAGAATAGGAGGAATTACAAATATAATTCCCACTTCTAAAAAACGTTGGATTTGTTTGCCGTTTTAAAGGCAACAAAATATTCCTGTGAATTTGAAAAGTGAATATTATAGTATGGTAGAACAATCTTTTAACATAAGATCTGCAATAGTTACATTTAAAATAAGAGACTATAACTTTATCTGACTAAAACAATGTTAAACTTGTTCAGCTTTTGAGGCCAGGATGAGCTCCAGTGAAAAGGAGGTGGAGGAGCTCCAGAGAGAGAACGCAGGTGAGAAACAGAAACTATTATGAAGAATCAAAATGTTGTTTAATGAAAGGAACTGGTATACTGAGGAGAATATTAAATATCAATCTCTGCTGGCTATCAGAATCAAAGAAATAGACTTTCTTAGTTTAATAGACAGTTTGTTAATGAGTTCTCATCTCTGTGTGTGCATCCTCCTCTTCCTCACAGACCGTCCTCAGGTGGCGTTCTCAGCCGGTCTCACTGATGCAGGATCAGTCGGATCCTTCACCACTGATATCACACTGAAGTACAGTAAAGTCTTCACCAATATCGGCCAGGCCTACAGCCCAACGACAGGTACTGAACACACACACACACACACACACACACACACACACACACACACACAAAGCTTTCTTAATGAAACCATTAAAACATCTCTTAGTGTTCCTACAGTTGATCATGGTAGAAAATAGAACCAAGTCAGGAGCTCCTACGTGTTCCCTATTTAAAAACCCGTCCTTAAGTCCTGCTGAAGCTCCAGAAACAATCTCCCCTCACTGATCTTCTCCTCTGATGCAGGTATCTTCACAGCCCCCGTCAGAGGAGTCTACTACTTCAGATTCAACGGGTGGGAGACCCGTTCAGGTTTGACCGGTGTTGAACTCTTTCACAACGACAAGATGAAGATGAAGGTTCAAGATTCCCATGCTGGCGGTAGCTTTATCTCTACGTCTAACGCCATGGTTCTTCAGCTGGAGGAGGGAGATGTTGTCTACATCGTTCTGCCCTCCAGCCACGGCGTTTATGATGATTCGTATAATCGCATCATTTTCAGTGGATTTCTGCTCTTTCCTCTGTGAAGCCCACTGTAAAACACCCACTGAATTAAGTTTCAACATTACATATTAATAAATAAGTGTGTTGACTCAATTGGTATAATTGTTTGTGTTTATTTCTGTTTGGTTACATGAACAAGAGGCATTCATTACCATAACAACGTTTTCTACGGACACTATAAGAGAAACACTTTAGCAGTACTGTTGTTGTCCAAACCCCCTAAACCGAGACCAAGTCAAGACCAAAGAGCCCTCTCCAGTCTGTACCCTGACGACAGAAGTGAGACCCACACTGCATGACACAGATATGAAACATATATAACACAAAAAACAGAGACACTCCTCAAAATGATCTGTCATATCCACAATCCCAGAAAAACTCAAATGTCTTCATTCACCTGGTTGCTTGCCATATATACTTACAGTATATGTTTGTGTATGAATGTTATATGAGAAATGTAAAGCAGAGTTGACTTTTATGTCCGGGAATCTTCCTTTCTGATGACCTCTTTGTCAGAGACAGAAACTCATCAAAATGAGGTTGATTCTGAGACCAGACCTTCAAAAAGTGTTCTTGTGATCAAGACCAACTCAAGTACCAAAAACTCTGCATTAAAGTGTTAATAAATACAAAAAGGACGTCATATTTTCTTTTACACAGCATAACAATATTATTTGAATCCATCCAATCTAAAATTAACCAGACATTTTTTTTTTTTAGCCATTAAAGATGTTACTTTTGAAAGCTTACATAATAAGCTATATTCAAGGACAACATTCAAGTTGTTGTTTGTTTTGAAATCAGGTTAATGCACAAGGACATTTGGGTGTTTTTTATATGTGTTAACAAAGACATCTGCTGGATTCTCACGGCCTCGTCAGCTGTTTAAAGGTGGGGTAGGTAATTTTGGAGAAACAAGCTCGAGATCGCTAGAATTTGAAAATACACAGCCGGAAAAAATCTGCCACTTCCTTCCAGAGCCCCTCCTCCAACACACACAAACGCGCACATGACCAATGAGGGCACGAGATAAGTTTGTGCACAGATGGAAGGCTGACAGGCAGGTAGGCCATCCAGTTACTTTAGCCGGGCCGACTAAAATGATTGGTCGTGCTTTTTACAGTACTACGGCTTCCACAGATACAATTTATTTATGGATTTGTTGTCAAAGCACTTAAGATATTCATTGCTATCGGGATGTTAAGAGCATTCCATGGAATATAACAAAAAGTGCATCTCGAGCCGGTTTCTCAAACTTACATACCCCACCTTTAACGTGGATATAAAGACGGGGACAGAGCGAGACGTGTCTCACTTCTCTGTCTGATCAGCGATATTTCAGAATGAGGAGAACTGCAGTCCATGTAAACATTTATAAAAAAACACATACTTTTAAAAGACTTAAAATTGTCAAAACTCAAGAAATTTTGATTTTCTAGGATGGTACAGTTGTGGTCATCACTGACACTCTTCACTTTAAGGACTCATTTGTTGTTTTTAACAAAGCCACACATGTCAGACTGACAGCCAGCGAGAGCAAGAATGCAGGTAAATATGTACATGTACTTACAGATGGAGCATCTTATTTCAGACACCAGCTTACTGCTTCCTGCCTACTACCTGCCAGTTACCTGCCTAAGACCTGCCAAAGACCAGTATCTGGGAATGTTAAGCCCTCCCACTATTTTCCAAGAGGGCGTTGCCAGATTTTCAATTTCAGGATTTAACCAGGAGATGGCGCTTCCTTCACAAAAACAGGAAGACAACTTTTCATGGACTTTCAGTTTTGTTTAGAAGAGCATTTGAACACATCAATATTTTAGACCAAATAAAGTATATCTAATCTTGTAATTCAATAATATATAGTCTTTATATATTAAATAACTATGGCCAAACTAAGACTTCGTTTTTCACAAGAGAAAATGCAGATATTATATAAAAAACTAAAGTTAAAATCTTGTTTTTAATGCCCCAAGAGCAATAAAAACACTTGGTAAAAAAATACAAGCTGTAAAAATACTTATATATATTTAATACTAATAACATAATGATTAATTTCAGATGATAATACTTTTCAGTGTCTGTCTCATGCAGCAGCTGACCCGGCCGACAGTAAAAATAAACATTTATAACTAGTTTAGGTTGTTTGAGAGGTAATTAAAATAGCTAAGGGTGATGATCTGACTTGAAGTGTGTGTTTTTGCTCCTAATTAAATGTGTACAAGATGTGAAGTCAACAGGTATAGGAAAATATTCCTAAAACGTCCAAATAGTCACAGCAGGGATTTGCCACTGTGCCACTACAGTTGATCTGTGTGTCTACAAAGAAAGCTTTTCATTTGCTAGATGCTGATGTAGCTATTTGGATTACTTTTGAAGATGCAGTTGGGAATATTTCCTCAACCCTGCTTTGTTATTTTCAGAAAAGTGAAACTTAAATAGGCCTATAAAATGATAGAATTTAAAAGAGTCTTGAAAAAGCATGGTGATGGCAATAAATGCATTAATGAATCCCCAAAATCTACAGAATACATTTAATTTAAGGGGAGCAGTTACTGAGAAGTATATAATGAGAACTGCTACCAATGGTGGCCTATTTAGTTTATTAAGAAATACATATTTTTAGCTTTTTTTTATCTGCAGTAGGAAATGGAGCGGACCTGCAGAGAGTAGCGACAGAGAAGGGCTGGTCCGCCGCAGATAGGCAAACTGTAGATAGGCCGCAGATAGGCATAGTTTGTTAAATATAGGACCATAATATAAGATTAGGATTTTTTGTAGATTATTTTGTTAAATAAAAACATGGTGATGTTTTATAATATAAGATTAGGATTTGTCGATTATTTTGTTAAATAAAAACTTGGTGATGTTTTATAATATAAAATTGGGATTTATTGCAGATTATTTTGTTAAATAAAAACATGGTGATGTTTTATAATATAAGATTAGGATTTATTGTAGATTATTTTGTTAAATAAAAACATGGTGATGTTTTGTAAATGTATGATCCTATCTGAAAAAATATTAATGCTCCTAAAATAAATGGTAGACATATCAAATTGTTTCCTCTTTGTATTTGTTTTATTATTTTCTCATCTGTGATGGATAAAGAAAGTAATCCAAAAGTAATCTAAAAGTAATCAGATTACTTTCAGAGCCATGTATTCAGTAATCAGTAACTGATTACATTTACAAAGTAACCCTCCCAACCCTGTTCATATCGCAATATATTCCAGAAGTCTGAAATGCAAAATGTTAGAAATTAAAATCAATGTTTAATTGCATTATTTAGTCTAAAACATACCGTCAGTTTAAAAGCTGTTTTATTGTGAAAATCCCCGAAGTTCTCATAAAATCTCAATGCCAAGCTTTTATTCTGAAAATCCTTCATATCCGGTTAGTATTGACAAGCATGTGGCTAATATTATGTTTTCTGAATGTGAAGTAAAAATGACACGGAATGTTGCACACCAAAACCTACTGACTTTAACATTACATCTATAGACGTCGAGATATTATTACTGATGAATATTAAATGAAGGTACCGTTGATCGTAAAGTGTTTTCACTATGACGTCAGAAGGAGTTACCGTAAATGAGAGCTGCCGTAAAAGTGTTTCTAGGATTTCTAAACGAACTATTACAGCTGTTATAAAGCATTAAATAAAAAGTCATGAAAGAGATAAGGAGGAGAAAAGGTTTAAGGAAGTAAGCAAGGAATACAGAATGTCGAAATCCTCTGTTTCACGCGATGTCGAACATTGAAGACAGAGGACGGCGGGTCCCCCAATCTACACAGCGGGAGAAAGAAGATCATAAAGCAGATCGGAGGAGACATCACGATCTTTCCCACATTAGTGCAATTCACCTATACTTAACCCCAAATAAAAGAACCCAATAAAAACATTTGTTAAATAATAGTGAAGTCACGTTGTAATAATAACTCATCTCTCGGTTTGAGTGTTCTTTTTCTGCTTTTCTGACTATTTCTCATTGTGGGGAAAAATAACACCCAGGATCCTGATCGTTTTAATGAAGTTGAATACAGAATATTCATATTTGTCAGTGATTTCATGTCGAACATAAACATAAATGATCGTGGTGAAGATGATGATTAAATTAGGATTAAAAATCGGGAGAGCCGGCTGCATTTCCTCTCGTTCGTTTTTTTCGACTAAACAACATTATTTTGTTAAATAACAACATGGTGATGTTTTGTAAATGATTACATGTCTTATTTAGCACAGACTATGATCCTATCCGTGACATATGGATCTTAACAAAGATCCGCTATACATTAGTACCAGACATACTGTACATCCAGCTTACTGTATCGAAGTTGATTTCACATGAGCTCCAGTGTGGAACCCCACTGCACCCCCTGGTGGATCAATGATCCATTGCAGCTGGCTTCACAATAATTACATTTATTTATCACGGGGGCGGTATCAAGTCAGACTGGGGGCCGGCTCTTCATCACGAACCGATCACGGGCCGATCACGGACTGTGCACGAGCCAATCACGACCCTCGCGTTTCAAACTGTCTGAAATAAGACGCTCCATCTGTACTTATATGTTGATGTACAATAATGTTTATGACAGAGCTCCAAAGTGACATCTACAATAATACTAATAACCATTTTTAAATGTGTTCAGTTTTAGAGGCCAGGATGAGCTCCAGTGAAAATGAGGTGGAGGAGCTCCAGAGAAAATGAGGTGGAGGAGCTCCAGAGAGAGAACGCAGGTAAGAAACAGAAACTATTATGAAGAGTCCAAATGTTGTTTAATGAAAGGAACTGGTATACTGAGGAGCAGTCGGACCCTTCACCACTGATATCACACTGAAGTTCATTAAAGTCTTCACCAATATCGGCCAGGCCTACAGCCCAACGACAGGTACTGAACACACACACACACACACACACACACACACACACACACACACACACACACACACACACACACACACACAGACACACACACACACACACACACACACATACACACCCACACACACACACACATTATATTTCCTCCGATAGTCTCCATTTCTTTTATCTGTCAGATGATCGTAATAGTGTTCAGGACAACCCATGTATGAACTTTTAATTCATAGTTTGTATATTAAGAGGGATTATTTTTGTCTATACATTGTTTTATTCGCCTGCAAAAATGTCAGAACGGTCTAAGAATAGTGAGGAGAAATTGCACGTGTTTGTGAAGTAGTTACAGGTTAAATTAAATTGTGCAAGAGTTTGTCAACCGATGTTTATATAGTTTTACTGTTGTGACATACTGCCGTGATTCACCCACAGGAAATACGTATAGAATTTTCTCAGTTTTCTGGATTCTACCTTCACCGAGAAAAACTCATTTGTATTTCAGAAATGAAGGAAACTAGGGGTAAAGCAGGGGTGTCCAAAATACGGCCCGGGGGCCATTTTGAATTGACCCTCAGAAAATTCAAAAAGTATAATGAAATATGGCCAACAAATGAAACTTCTGCTTGTCTTTTATTGTAGTTCTTAAATATATATGTTAAAATATATTACACAGTATTCATGTGTTAATAAGCCCAATTTTCAAACAAATTCAGTCAATTAAAGTTGAAATGTTTTTCTAACCAATCTAAGTTGAGCAGGTCTCCCTTGAAAAAGAGATCAATGATCTCAATGGGATACAACCTGGATAAATAAAGGTGTGAAATGAAATGAAATGAAGTTGATAAGAAAAAAGCCCAATAACAAATGTACATAACCTTGAAATATATCCTTCATATTTCCACTTATTATCAGCAATTATAACCCTAACCCTAAACCTAAACCTAAACCTAACCCTAACCCTAACCCTAACCCTAACCCTAACCCTGAAGCTTCTGTTTTAAGGAATGAGCTGCCAACACTTTTTGTACCAAAATAAATGAAACCCTCTGGAGAGCATTTTTCAAGTATCAAGAATAATTTACCTACATTTGATAGATTTTTTTCAACTTATAACTTAACTTACGAGGCGATATACCTCACCTCTAGCGAGCGGCCCAGCCCTTCGTATATTTTTCTGTATGTGGCCCTCGTGAAAAGGTTTGGACACCCCTGGGGTAAAGCACGTTTGTTGTAATGTCATTCTTTACCTCGGACACGTCCAGGTGTTTGATGTTCCAGCTCGGGGAGGGTCCAGAGTTGTCGTGCCAGATGTGCACCCCCCACAGAGGGCCCAGGCTGTCATTTGCACTGTGGGGTCAGAGACAGACCGCCTTTATAAATGAGCAAAAACAATCCAAAGCTACTCAATAATGATGTGACATTGATGTAAAACGCATCTGTGTGTTGACTTTATGTGGAGATTTTGGATTTCACCTGATGATAAAGGTGTCTTGAGAGTTTCTCCTGAACAGAGTGCATCCTGGGACATGTAGTTCTCTTGTCTGTGAGAAACCATCTTCCCCTTTGAGCACCATGTACACCTGTTAAACACATAGATGTTACCTTTAAATATCGGATCATTTTGGGTAGCTTAGTTTAATACAAGTCAAGGAAAACAAGTTCTAATCACAAATAAAAGAGAGATATAGACAAATCAGGAATAATACACTTTTTTTTTAAAGAACAGAATTAAAGTTGTTGTTTGCCCTTTACTATCAGTAAGATGTCCAAGGACGTTTGGATTATTTTTATATGTGTTATCAAAGACATCTGCTGGATTCTCACGTGCCTTGCCAGTGACCTGTTTAACGTGGATATAAAGACGGGGACAGAGCGAGACGTGTCACACTTCTCTGTCTGAACAGCGATATTTCAGAATGAGGAGAGCTGCAGTTTTTCTGGCGTTGCTGCTCTGTCTGCTCTGGACGGGGGCTCAGGGTGAGGATGGAGGGGGGACAGGGAAGAAAGAGGGAGAGTTTGATATCCAAGGAGCCCAGGATCAGAGCAGCAGTCAGACCCAGATGAGAACTGACATCTTGGCTGAGCTGAAGGAGCTCAGAGACATGGCCATCGAACACAGGATCAAGATCCAGAGGCTGGAGCAAGACAACACAGGTGACCCACCTGACGTAACACACACTGAGAGCCACATCATGCTGCACTGATACATGCAGTCATCATCACTGACACTCTTCACTTTAAGGACTCATTTGTTGTTTTTAACAAAGCCACACAGGTCAGACTGACAGCCAGCGAGAGCAAGAATGCAGGTAAATATTTACATGTGCTTACTTATATGTTGATGTACAATAATGTTTGTGACAGAGCTCCAAAGTGACATCTACAATAATACTAATAACCATTTTGAAATGTGTTCAGTTCTAGAGACCAAGATGAGCTCCAGTGAGAAGGAGGTGGAGGAGGTGAAGAGAGAGAACGCAGGTAAGAAACAGAAACATCATAAAAAGGTAAATATTGCGAATATTAAGATACGAAGACATGTTTTTGTGTAAAATACAAAAGTGAGAAAAGAGAGGTGAACAAAATCAGAGGCTGGAGCAAGACCACACAGGTGACCCACCTGACATAACACTGAGAGCCACATCACTGATGCTCATGATAATGATATCTTATATTTATTTAACAACTCATGTTTGTGAAAGTGTTTCTACTTGTTCAAGCTCCAGGGTAACATTTAGCATGATCCTAATAGAAACACTCATATGTGTTCAGCTCTAGAGGCCAAGATGATTCTCAGTGAAAAGGAGGTGCAGGAGCTGAAGATAGACACTGCAGGTAAGTGAGAAAAACCAAATAAAAAATAAGAAATGACCTGTCTTATGTGAGAAAAGTAATGTTTAACTTACACGGGAGATAAGAGAAACACATTTAAAATACTGATGAGATATAAATGTTGTTCTTTATCAGCCATTAACCTGCTTTTTCGTAAAGATCTGATTTGTTAAATTGAAAGAAACTGAAACCATTATTTTATTTTACTGAACATTTTTTACATTTGTTCAGTTTCAGAGGCCAGGTTGAACTTCAGTGAGAAGCAGGTGCAGGAGCTCCAGAGAGTGAACGCAGGTAAGCCACAAGAACATCATAAAAAATGATGCCAACAAAATGAAGAGACGATCTTGTTTATAAGTCCAAAGTGATTTACCTGTTTTCTATGTCTAAACATTGTTCAGCTTTAGAGGCTAGAATGAGCTCCAGTGAAAAGGAGGTGGAGGAGGTAAAGAGAGAGAACGCAGGTAAGATATAGAAGTATAATATAAAAGGTAAATATTGCCTATAATGATAGAAACTAATGAGTTTGACATAATGAAGAGATAACCTGCTCTTTCTCTGTATTGCAGATCTTCTGGCTCGAGTCACAGCAAGTGAGAAGAAGAGCACAGGTAGGAGTACAAAGTAACCAAATAAGAATAGGAGGAATTACAAATATAATTGTATTTTTCTATAAAACGTTGGATTTGTTTGCCGTTTTAAAGGCAACAAAATATTATAAGTGAATTAAGTGAATATTATAGTATGGTAGAACAATCTTTTAACATAAGATCTGCAATAGTTACATTTAAAATAAGAGACTATAACTTTATCTGACTAAAACAATGTTAAACTTGTTCAGCTTTTGAGGCCAGGATGAGCTCCAGTGAAAAGGAGGTGGAGGAGCTCCAGAGAGAGAACGCAGGTAAGAAACAGAAACTATTATGAAGAGTCCAAATGTTGTTTAATGAAAGGAACTGGTATACTGAGGAGAATATTAAATATCAATCTCTGCTGGCTATCAGAATCAAAGAAATAGACTTTCTTTGTTTTAATAGACAGTTTGTTAATGAGTTCTCATCTCTCTGTGTGCATCCTCCTCTTCCTCACAGACCGTCCTCAGGTGGCGTTCTCAGCCGGTTTCACTGATGCAGGAGAAGTCGGACCCTTCACCACTGCAACCACACTGAAGTACAGTAAAGTCTTCACTAATATCGGCCAGGCCTACAACCCAACTACAGGTACTGAACACACACACACACACACACACACACACACACACACACACACACACACACACACACACACACACACACACGCACACGCACACGCACACACACGCACACACACACACACACTAAGCTTTCTTAATGAAACCATTAAAACATCTCTTAGTGTTCCTACAGTTGATCATGGTAGAACATTAAACCAAGTCAGGAGCTCCTACGTGTTCCTTTTTTAAAAACCCGTCCTTAAGTCCTGCTGAAGCTCCAGAAACAATCTCCCCTCACTGATCTTCTCCTCTGATGCAGGTATCTTCACAGCCCCCGTCAGAGGAGTCTACTACTTCAGATTCAACGCGTGGGAGAACCGTTCAGTTTGGACCGGTGTTAAACTCTTTCACAACGACAAGATGAAGATGACGATGGATGATTACCATGATGGCTCTGGCTCTGTCTTTATGTCTAACGCCATGGTTCTTCAGCTGGAGAAGGGAGATGTTGTCTACATCGTTCTGCCCTCCGGCTACAGCGTTTATGATGATTATCATAATCGCATCATTTTCAGTGGATTTCTGCTCTTTCCTCAGTGAAGCCCACTGTAAAACACCCACTGCATTAAGTTTCAACATTACATATTAATAAATAAGTGTGTTGACTCAATTTATATAATAGTTTGTGTTTATTTCTGTTTGGTTACATGAACAAGAGGCATTCATTACCATAACAACGTTTTCTACGGACACTATAAGAGAAACACTTTAGCAGTGCTGTTGTTGTCCAAACCCTCTAAACCGAGACCAAGTCAAGACCAAAGAGCCCTCTCCAGTCTGTGCCCTAACGACAGAAGAGAGACCCACACTGCATGACACAGATATGAAACATATATAACACAAAAAACAGAGACACTCCTCAAAATGATCTGTCATATCCACAATCCCAGAAAAACTCAAATGTCTTCATTCACCTGGTTGCTTGCCATATATACTTACAGTATATGTTTGTGTATGAATGTTATATGAGAAATGTAAAGCAGAGTTGACTTTTATGTCCGGGAATCTTCCTTTCTGATGACCTCTTTGTCAGAGACAGAAACTCATCAAAATGAGGTTGATTCTGAGACCAGACCTTCAAAAAGGGTTCTTGTGATCAAGACCAACTCAAGTACCAAAAACTCTGCATTAAAGTGTTAATAAATACAAAAAGGACGTCATATTTTCTTTTACACAGCATAACTATATTATTTGAATCCATCCAATCTAAAATTAACCAGACATTTATTTATGTTTAGCCATTAAAGATGTTACTTTTGAAAGCTTACATAATAAGCTATATTCAAGGAAAACATTCAAGTTGTTGTTTGTTTTGAAATCAGGTTAATGCACAAGGACTTTGCACTTTTTTTTAAAAGAACAGAATTCAAGTTGTTGTTTGCCCTTTACTATCAGTAAAATGTCAAAGGACGTTTGGTTTCTTTTTACATGTGTTATCAAAGACATCTGCTGGATTCTCACAGCCTTGTCAGCTGTTTAACGTGGATATAAAGACGGGGACAGAGCGAGACGTGTCTCACTTCTCTGTCTGAACAGCGATATTTCAGAATGAGGAGAGCTGCAGTTTTTCTGGCGTTGCTGCTCTGTCTGCTCTGGACGGGGGCTCAGGGTGAGGATGGAGGGGGGACAGGGAAGAAAGAGGGAGAGTTTGATATCCAAGGAGCCCACGATCAGAGCAGCAGTCAGACCCAGATGAGAACTGACATCTTGGCTGAGCTGAAGGAGCTCAGAGACATGGCCATCGAACACAGGATCAAGATCCAGAGGCTGGAGCAAGACAACACAGGTGACCCAGCTGACGTAACACACACTGAGAGCCACGTCACGCTGCACTGATACATGCAATCATCATTTAATTTTCATTTAATCGTTTATTTGAACCGGGACAGTGCACATTGATGAACACTTTAAAACAAAATAATGCTTACAAATTTAAATGAGCCGGATTTTAGCTTTGAGCTAATTTCCATCCGTAGTCCCTCACATACAACATACAAGAACATGTCATTTATATACACAGCAAAAATAAATACATGATATGCAAAAGAGCATGAGCAGCATACAAGCATTTACCACATGGCAGTACAATATCTCCACTGATATCACACTGAAGTTCAGTAAAGTCTTCACCAATATCGGCCAGGCCTACAGCCCAACGACAGGTACTGAACACACACACACACACACACACACACACACACACACACACACACACACACACACACACACACACACACACACACACACACACACACACACACCTTTCTTAATGAAACCATTAAAACATCTCTTAGTGTTCCTACAGTTGATCATGGTAGAACATTAAACCAAGTCAGGAGCTCAAGTTCAAGATTACCATGATGGCTCTGGCTTTATCTCTACGTCTAACTCAATGGTTCTTCAGCTGGAGGAGGGAGATGTTGTCTACATCGTTCTGCCCTCCGGCTACGGCGTTTATGATGATTTGTTCAATCGCATCATTTTCAGTGGGTTTCTGCTCTTTCCTCTGTGAAGCCCACTGTAAAACACCCACTGCATTAAGTTTCAACATTACATATTAATAAATAAGTGTGTTGACTCAATTTATATAATAGTTTGTGTGTATTTCTGTTTGGTTACATGAACAAGAGGCATTCATTACCATAACAACGTTTTCTACGGACACCATAAGAGGTTCAAGGTTCAAGGTTCAAGGTTCTTTATTGTCAATCTGACATAGTTACAGAGTAATTATGTAGTTGAAAATCTTATGTCACAGGCTTCTCCAACAATGCAACATAATAACATAATAACAATAAGAGCAAGAGCAATACAAAAAGAATAATAGTTATAAAATAAAATAAAGTTATGATGTGGAATAGTGCAATAGAGTCTATATACAAGTTATTGGAATGATCTGTCAGATGATCATAATAGTGTTCAGGGCAACCCATGTATGAACTTTTAATTCATAGTTTGTATATTAAGAGGGATTATTTTTGTCTATACATTGTTTTATTCTTAGGAAAATCCTACTTCAAGGATTCTCAGAGTTAAAGTTTATTCCATCCAATACTCTCTTTGTTTTTACTTTAAAAAGGACAGTAAAGTATTTTGTGAATTACATTTTGTCTTTAGAATTAGCTTTTTCACTTGCAGACGTCACTGTAAAAACTGTTGCTTTGGTAAAACTTAAAAAATATGTGTCAAGTTATTCCAAGCAATTTTAAGAGTTTAGTCAACTTTTGCAATTTTTGAGTTGGTGAAATGTACTTTTTTTAGTTTTCCTCTACTCAAGAATGTGTTACTTTGCTAAAACTTAAAAAATATGTGTCAAGCGATTCCAAGCAATTATAGGAGTTGGGTACACTCACTAATGTGATTTTTTCTGCATATGAAAAGATGAGATGAGCCTACAATTAAAAGCCCAGATATTAAGTGTAACCAATGCAAATAACAATCTGCTAAGAACCACACGAGAATAAAGTAAATTATAAAACACAATTGAGTTGCCGGAACCTATATACGACAAACTCTTCCTGATTTCAATCCAACCTTTAAATATTTGATAGCATTGAAACATTGCAGATTAAACAAATAAATAAAAAAAGGGAACGTTATGGACATGTTAATACATTTTATTAAAATTTGATTATTTCAAAACAGTTGTCATAAAAGAGTAACAAGTTTGTTTAAAAGCACAACACATTAACATACATGGAGACACATGGTTATTACTTGATGGTTATAACTGCATCTGGCTCTTGGGCAATGTATAACTTCATGCTGTGCATCACGAGCCTGTTGCACTTCGACCTCTGCTGTTCCCTGTAAATACAAATAAAACACTATATTGAGTACAAATCAGGACACACCATGTGTTTTCCTCAAAATAAAAATCAAATCCGTCTTGAAAACATAACGAGCCAGTTTACATTAGCTGTTAACAGACGGTAACAGAGGTTGGATTACAAGGGGTTTAAGCCATCAAAAAAAAGGCTGGTTTGCAAGAAAATGAACCAAATAGTCATGATATTGATATAGTTCATAAAATGTCCAACTACTTCTTTTTAACCCCACCTCATGCTCAGAGATGTATATAAAGTGGCACATGGGTCCTAAAATAAAAAGAACAGACGATTATTTCAACTTTTATCTTGATAAGTGAGAGCGCAGGCCAGTCTACATGAATGCAGGGCAAGGCACGTTTCTGTCCAAAGGTTCCATGATGGAGTCGATAATGTTTTAAAATATCACTTTGAGTGGTGACACTAGTGCTGCATAGTTTACATCTCCATCCCATCTGTGATTCAATAAATAGAAATGGGTACGTTTACCTGATGCTCATTATATTAGTATGTAAACATAACACGTCTTGAATTAACCTCTGAAACAACAACTTTAGTCTGACACACTCAAGGGCTTACCTAATGTGAACCTGAAGTCCATAGCAGGAGGCAAAATGTCTTCAAGAGGAGATGTGACTGTTTTCTGGTGAGGCAAATGAAAGAACAAAGTAGTTATATGATGACAATGTAACAATCATTTCAGTAGAATTCATTAAAACATATTTAATTCAATTAATGGAATCAAACATTAAAACACAAGTATCATTTAAAACGGTATTGTATTTATATACATTTATAAGGATGGCATTTATTAAGGATGGTATT